GGCTATGCGCGTGTGGGCCAATGAGGAGAAGACGCAGCGGCCGGGCGGGAGGTGGAGATGGGAATTGCCGGCGAAGCGCGGGGCGTGGTTAGGAGGAAATGGGGGGGAAGAGAAGCCAATGAGAATAAGGGGCGTGGTCAGGGTCAGGAGGGAAGGGCCGGGCCAGGGCCAGGGGGTGGAGCCTCGGGGTAGGAGTGGGCGGGGTCGCGCGAGTGGGCGTGGCTTATAGGCCCATCCTCCTCTGGGTTCTTAGGCCAAGCCCAGCCCAGCATCTCCCCCGCCGCCTCTTTCTCGTACCGTGGGAACCCACGTGCCCGCTCCGGCTCCCGCTCCCGCTCCGGCTCCGGCTCCGGCTCCGGCTCCGGCTGCAGAACCGACCCCTTCCGCAGCTCCAGCTGCAGCACCAGCCGCAGCAGCCCCGACTCTGGAGCAGGAGCTGCAGGAAGCGATCCGGAGGGCGCAGGTGAGAGGCAGTGGGCAGGTGGTCTCCGGTCGGGATTCGGGCCAGAGTCCCAGGTTCACTCCGCTTCTGCCTGTCCGTCCGCAGTTGCTTCCGAACCGGGGCATCGATGACATCCTGGAGGGTCAGGACGAGCCTGCTGGTAAAAGCCGAACTCCTAGATTTTGGGGCAAAGGGGGCTGAGGTTCTGGACTCCTGGGAACGGGGGAAACCCCTAGGGGACTGGGGGCCGGACCCCCGACTTCCTAAGCTCACCCTCCATTTCTTCCCCCGCAGACCTGCTGCCCCCTATCCCCCTGGACTTCCCTGGCTCCTTCGACGTGCTGTCCCCTTCCCCAGACTCTGAAGGCCTCTCCTCTGTCTTCTCTTCCTCGCTCCCGTCCTCCACAAACTCCCCATCCGCCTCTCCCAGGGGCCCCACGGACTCCTTGGACTGGCTGGAAGCTCTGAGCGGGGGTCCTCCGCTGGGCTGCGGTCCCCCGGCCCCCAGCATCTTCTCTGCTGATTTATCGGACTCCGGTGGCCCCCGGCTGTGGGACCTGCTGGAGGGTCCATGGTGATGGATTCTGGGGTTCCAAGGGACGGAGAACTGGTAGGGACGGGGAGTCACAGAGACAGACTCCCTGAGGGAGGGGTTGGAACAACTGGGAGAGCCCCTCCCACCACAGACCCAGAATCAGAAGCAACTCTCATCTCACCTGGGCCCTAAACTGCTGCCGGACACGCCAACCACCTGACTGTCCCTGCCCGACCTCCTAGGCTCGCCTCCAGGGCTGTGTGCTGGGGGCGGGAGCCTCATTTGCTGCTGGCCGGGCAAACAAGCTGCTTGCTGCTTCCCGCAGACACCTCTCCGATGTCTTCTTCTCATCCCGCCAACTGCGTGGCTACCTGTGGCTGGGGCACCTGGAGGGTGCTCTATGCTCTTGGGGTGCAGAGAGGGGGAGGGAGGAGTGGGGAGGGCGGCTAGGGAGCTAGACCCTTGGCTTCTGTTTGGAGATGAGAACATCAGAAGGCGTGTCCCAGGTCAGATTCTGAGCAGAGCCTGAGGCAACACTCCTGTGTCCACGATTTCTTAAAGAGGTGCTCCCAGGAGAAACCAAAAAGGAATGGGTGAGACAGGACAGCGAGGGGGAGAAGACCAACAGGATGATGATGTCAGGTGAAGTCCCCATCTCGGCCCAATCCCGGAGGATGAATTAAGTTGCAAGGTCAGGCCCCGCTGGTGCAGCTCAGCGGCTGAGTGTCGACCCAGGAACCAAAAGGTCACCGGTTTGATTCCCGGTCGGGGCACATGCCCGGTTTTCGGGCTCCCTCCCCAGTAGGGGTGCATGCAGGAGGCAGCTGATTGATGATGTTTCTCTCTCATCGATTTTTCTACTTCTCTCCCTTCCTCTCGCTCTAATCAATAAAATCACCATTTTCTTTTTTTTTTTAATATATTTTATTGATTTCTTACAGAGAGGAAGGGAGAGGGATAGAGAGTCAGAAACATCGATGAGAGAGAAACATCAATCAGCTGCCTCCTGCACACTCCCCACTGGGGATGTGCCCACAACCAAGGTACATGCCCTTGACCGGAATCGAACCTGGGACCTTTCAGTTCGCAGGCCGACGCTCTATCCACTGAACCAAACCGATTAGGGCCATTTTTTTTTTTAAAGGTGCAGGGTCGTTCCACCTTGAGGCAAAGGGAACCGGGCCTTTAAGGCAAAGGGAGATCCCAGTTTGGGTTTTTATCCCTGAATAACAAACTACCCCAAACGTAGAATCTTAAAATAATAACTATGATTGCTCACAATTCCAGGGGTGGACTGGGCTCAGCAAGGCAGTTCTTCAGCACCGTCTGATGTCAACTAGGGCTGCAGTCATCTTAGGGCCCAACCAGCTGCAAAATCCACGATGCTGCTCGCAGACATGCCCGCGCCTTAGCAGGGACGGCTACTGGGCTGGACTCGCCTGGGCTGTGGGCGTCTGCATTTCTCTCACTCTCTGCGTAGTCTCCGCCCTCTCCCTCTCCACGTGGCCTCCCCAACAGAGGCAGGGACTCCTTACATGGTAGCTCAGGGCTCCCCAAAGTGAGCATTTCTAGGGGAGGAAGCAGAACTTTCACCATTTTCTTTTTTTTTTTAATATATTTTATTGATTTCTTACAGAGAGGAAGGGAGAGGGATAGAGAGTCAGAAACATCGATGAGAGAGAAACATCAATCAGCTGCCTCCTGCACACTCCCCACTGGGGATGTGCCCGCAACCAAGGTACATGCCCTTGACCAGAATCGAACCCGGGACCCTTGAGTCCGCAGGCCGACGCTCTATCCACTGAGCCAAACCGGTCAGGGCACCATTTTCTTTTTTAAAAAATAGATTTTTATTGATTTCAGAGAGAAAGGCCGAGGGAGAGAGAGAGAGAAACATCAATGATGAGAGAGAATCATTGGGCGGCTGCTTCCTGCATGCCCCACACTAGGGATTGAGCCTGGGCATGTGCCCTGACCAGGAATTGAACCGTGACTTCCTGGTTCATATGTCACACCAGCCGGGCACCATTTTCTATTGGTTAATGCAAGTCAGGCCAATCCAGGCGGAATATGGGAGGGGGCTACTAAAACGTGTTAATGTCGGGGTGGTGGTGGCACAGTCATTGAGGCCGTGTTTGGAGACTTGCTATTACACCCCTCTAGTTAGTCCTGGGCTACGGTTCCTGAGAGGAGGCTGGGACACAAACTCTCAAGCACTTTGACCCCACAGCTGATCCTGGGAAGAAGGTCACAGGGTAATTGGTTAGCAGCAGAGTTTTAAAATGTAGATATTACTATTATTCAGGTTTGACAAAGTCAACAGATCAGGATCCGATTGCCATTGAAAAGAGAGTTTGTTATTCTCAGTTCCCAAAAGAAGGGAATATGCCTCCCTAGCTGGTTTGGCTCAGTGGATAGAGCGTCCGCCTGCGGACTGAAGGGTCCTGGGTTCGATTCCCGGTCAAGGGCACATACCTCAGTTTCAGATTCGGTCCCCAACCCTGGTTGGGAGCATGCAGGTGGCAACCAATGGATGTGTCTCTCTCACATTGATGTTTCTCTCTGTGTCTCCCCTCCTCCCTTCCACTTTCTCTCAAAGTCAATGGAAAAATATCCTTGGGTGAGGATTAACAACAAGGACAAAGAAGGGAATTTTCCAAGCCATGCAGGGCCCCATGGGGAAGCCCCAGTGTCAGCCAGGAGGCAGAGGGAGAGCGGGGAAGAGCATTTACAGTGGGGCCTTGACTTACGAGTGTCCCGACTAACGAGTTTTTTGTGATACCAGCTGTCTCTTGGCAGATTTTTTGCATTGAGTTGATAGAGTAATTTGAGTTAACGAGCTCCTTAACGAGCTCGGTCTCGGAACGAATTAAACTCATAAGTCAAGGCCCCACTGTATTGTGGTTTCCTCAAGAAGGAACAACTGAGGCAGAGCCCTAGCTGGTTTGGCTCAGACTGAAGGGTCCCGGGTTCGATTCCACTCAAGGGCACATGCCCGGGTTGTGGGCTCGATCCCCAGTAGGGGGCATGCAGGAGGCAGCTGATCAATGATTCTCTCCCATCATTGATGTTTCTATCTCTCCCTCTCCCTTCCTCTCTGAAATTAATAAAGATATATTTTTTAAAAAGGAACAGATGAGGCAGGTGAGCCGGCGTGAGGTTGGCTAGTGCGAGTGATTTCAGCAGACTCTTGGGTCTCCAGGTGTCCGGAGCCTGGCCCTGGGGCAATCAGGCAGAGAACAGTGTCCTGGGAAGTGGCTGGGAGTCCAGGCTGTGGGTTGCTAGGTTTGCATAGCAAAGGCCTGTGCACAGGCGGGTTCTTTGTTATTTCCAGGAAGTGGCTGGCCCGGTGGGGGGCAGGCCCTCCACTGTCAACAAAGCCCCAGATGTCAAAACACCACAAATACTGTATATACAGAAGAAGAAAAAGGCATCCTTCATGCACAGAGCTCACAGCAGCTGGGGGCTGGATGAACAGAACTGGTAAGGGGACCTGGGCTGGCCACCAGCCGTGTCCACTACAGGTGGGAAAGGACACGATATCAGGACAATCCATGTGACAGGACCGAGAGCCCGTGATGTCCCCTTGCCTTGCTGTCAGTTCCTCACCTGTACCTATAGCCCCGTGTGGCTGAGAGTGTCTACAGACGGCCTGGCATGGGAGACGTGCCAATGAATAGTGATCGCCGTTACTAGTTTACAATCAACAATCCTAGTGCCTCGACGTGTGGAAAACTGTTGGACATGAGCGACCCCCCCTAAAAAAGGGCAAGGGAATGCATGCTCGGTACCATGAAACAAAGGCAATCTTTAAAAATCTATCTATCTATCTATCTATCTATCTATCTATCTATCTATCTATCTATCTTAATACAGAAAGGAAGGAAGAGGGAGAGAGAGATAGAAACATCAATGATGAGAGAGAATCGTTGATGGGCTGCCTCCTGCACGCCACCTCCTGGGGATCGAGCCCGCAACTCAGGCATGTGCCCTTGACCAGAATCGAACCCGGGACCCCTCAGTCCGCAGGCTGACGCTCTACCCACTGAGCCAAACCGTCTAGGGCCAAAGGCAACCTTTGGTCTTCAGAAGAAGAACCCCTTTGCAGATGAAGTCATTGAAGATCAGAGAAGGGGAGTGATATGGCCAGTGTCTCACAGATGGGAGGGAGGGAGGAGAGAGAGGTCCGCAGGCTGACGCTCTACCCACTGAGCCAAACCGTCTAGGGCCAAAGGCAACCTTTGGTCTTCAGAAGAAGAACCCCTTTGCAGATGAAGTCATTGAAGATCAGAGAAGGGGAGTGATATGGCCAGTGTCTCACAGATGGGAGGGAGGGAGGAGAGGAACATCAGTGATGAAAGAGAAACATTGATCAGCTGCTTCCTGCACGCCCTGCTGGTGACGGAGCCCGCAGCTTGGGCGCGTGCTGTGATCAGGAATCGGACTGTGATCTCACGCTCATTCCCTGAGCCACGCTGGCTGGGCTGGAGTGGGGTTTTCAATGAATGAGCCCACATTCATGAGTCCACAGCTTGAGTCCTCAGAGTTAAAAAAACAAAGAGCCTCAATCTCTGCTCTGGTGAAGCTCAGACATCTGCCAAGAGAGAGTCCCGCTGCAGGTGACGAGGGTGTTCACGGCCGGGGCGCATGGGACCACAGGGCCGGGGCGCCCAAGAAAGGCCAGAGGCCGCGGGGCCATGGGCAGAGCGGTCGGGGAGCGGATTTTGCTGACTCTCCAAGGACCAGGCAGAGCGGGTGGAGGAAGCGCCTGGAAGACGCCAGCCTTGTAGAGGCAGAACGTGCAAAGCTGAGGGTGTGAAGGGCACAGCCTGGTGGGTGGCCGCTGGGTGTTGCCGGACCCTTCACGTCCGGCTGGACCCCGGGGGAAACGGGTACAGCCGGCCCTGGGAACATCAGGGAGGGGCGTGGCGGGCTCCTGTTTCTCTTTCCCTCTGGACCAGTGGTTCTCAACCTTCTGGCCCTTTCAATACAGTTCCTCATGCTGTGACCCAACCATAAAATTATTTTCGTTGCTACTTCATAACTGTCATGTTGCTACTGTGATGAATC